CACTCCATAACAGTACCTTCAACATCTCAAACAGACCTGGACACCTATAATCACACACAATTGCTGAAGCTGAAGCTTATTGTCAGCATCACAAACATAGGGCCAGGATGTGTCTTACCTCAAGGATACTGGGTTACCCACAACAGCATCTGAGCAACTCACAGGAGGTGCAGAAATTTTCCATATAAACAGAGGTACAATGATTGATCATATGGCAATTGCAACAAACTTCAGACTATCGCTCACGTTGTTAATGACTGCATAATACAGGCTTATGCAGGACATGTAAAAGAAATTCATCAGGCCTCCCTTAACTCTGCTGAATGGTTCAGCAACCTTGGGTTGAATTTACAATCTGTCATTGCCTTTCAAAATGCCATACGAAAAAAAGGAGGACAGAGCCTGGAGATTCAAGTGCCTAGAGAGGAGAAAAACAAACAAACAAACAGCCAAACTTCATCACATTTCAGCCTTTGTTTTCATGGAATAATTAATTTTAATTCTCCACACTTGGCTCAGCCTAACTTAAGGGAAAATGGTCATTATGTGAAATGACTCTCAGGCTACTTAAAACAGCTTGATGGATACAGAAATGCCAACTGAAGAAACAGACTAATATATGCCTTAGACTGCCTTCCTTGATGGGCTCAACACATTGAACTAAAAGTATCATCACACTGTGGTTATCTGTAAAAGTGCAGAGTCTACAGTTAAAATTTTAACTGGATGCATCAGCTCCTTGTTAATTCCCCTTATCATTCTTTACCTTTGCCTCATTCTTGTGTTTTCTGCCTCTTACCATAGTAGAAACTGATTTCAGATAGAAAAAGAAGGTGCCAAATCCCATAGAAAATTTCCAACTCATACCCAATGTTTATTAGCTGTATTGAAGCCGTGGTTAGAACAAAGTGTTCATGAAGTTTTCCAGGTAATGGACAGCGGATTTGGGACAGGTACGACCCTTCTGAACTAACATTAAGCCAGAAGGATTTGTGGGACCTATTGTGAGCCAGGTGATAGGTTCCACCTTATTTTCTAGATAAGATTCTAGAAACCTGTGATACAGGCTAAAACTGCCCCCGAGGCGTAACTGAACACAAGGATTCTTCATGGTTTGTAGGAGCTCATGATTCTCTGTTTTCCCATCCACATACACTTACTAGTTTCCATCTAAAGAAAACTGGTGTGCATAGGACAAAAGGACATGGCTCTGGCCAAAATCTGGCCCCCAGTTTGGACTTGTATTCCACAGGCACTTAATCTTGTTCATCCACTGCTCCCTCTAGGTGTATTTTCATTTCATAACAGCAAAGCACTGCTAACATTTGTAGCAATAAAGGATACCAGAGAGACCTACTCTGCAGATCTAATTCTGTTGCAAGGTGCCTGTTCAATAAGTTAATGTTGTTACACTCTTATCTGCAATCTTGAGATTGCCTGCCTGTGCTGTTGATCATGGGCACTTGCAATCAGTTATTGCACATTTCTGTAGAAATTAATATAGACCCTAGTACTGCTTCTATCTAGCTATCAATGCTTCACTTTTTTAGTGCCCTCCAATTGAACATTTGTGGTTTGTTTTATATCATTAAGGCCTCTGGAATCATCCTGTGGTTTATAAAATATTATATTAAACATATAAATATATTATATTAAATATATAAATACATTTTTAATATATTAAATATGACATTAAATATTTCTCCTCCATCTGTTACTAGCAGAACATGGGACTGAAAATACAAACCTTGTATGGTTTCTGAAATAACATTTCAGCATTTAACACTTTGTGAAACATGCTATGTGATGGAATCTCGCAGAAAACAAAGTTCTTTTTATTAATATGAGCTCATTAAATATGTCTGCCCCACTCTTGCACAATTAAGTTTTCCTTTGAATACCCCGACTTTCTCATAACTGGGATTTGTGGAACAAATCACCATACTATTTGGCATTGACCACTATGCAGATAATCTCAGGGTAGGGTCAGTTGCCACTCTGAGCTGAGTGCTGCAAGGAAGAGTTTGGATCAAGTGATGTGATGTCTGATGTGATGTCCACTGAAATCTTTAAAATAACCAGTAAAATTCTGATTAGCCAGCAAAGTAGTCTTTGACAAGAATTCAGCAAGACAGCCATTGAAATAGTATCATGACAGCTCACAGAAAAAGACTTCAGAATTGTATTTAAAAGTGAAAGAAATATTTTTGGCATTACTCAATAGATTTCTTTCTGTCTGTCCTACCAACTGCAGGCATATCTTCCCTTTCCTCTCAAACTTTTTCCAGTTTGTCTTGGGTAAACTGTGCTAATAAAAAGTAAATAAGGAGGATGAGACAGTAGGAAGACATATCATAGAGTTCACCAAAATCCAATAAAATTGGATTGGAGAGAGACAATATGAAGACTGGATCAGATTGGAATTTATAGACAAAATAATTATGTTGAAGGAACTAAACTGTAATTTTATTTTGTAATGGTAGATCAGAAAGGAGGAAAGTTTACTATAACATATTGCTGAAATACTAAGGGCAACACCAGCAGACTCAGAGATTTGTGGGGAGAAAAAAAAAAAAAAAAAACTCATAAGAGGTATCTATCATATTTTTGCCAGCAGGTACCAGTGTGCCTATAATGTATTAGATAATAGAAGCCCAGGAATCTTCTAGGGCTGTGGTAAATTGTAGCAAAAACGTGTACATTGATACAAATGCAGACTGAATGTGAATGCACAAGTGCAAAACAACAGCAGGAAAAAGGCAGCAAAATGTCATGTGTTGCTGACACCTAACAGGTCATCGAGATTGTATCATGCAGCTTCCTGCAATTTCTCAGGACAAGCAGCTCTGAAACAGGCAGTGACTAAATCCTGATGATTCACAAAGTTGGGGACAGGATAGAAAGTTTATAGAAAGATTAATCACAGTCAGCTCCTGAAGCCCATGATGAGGCACATTCAAATTCAGAAGCATGAACCTATGAAGTCTGAAAGTGTGCTGAGAGCCCCAAAACCTGATTTCCATGACTTCCACGTCATTGCAAGCAACCCTGACAGACTCCTTGTACACAGACTTCTTAGAAGCTTAGCTTCTAAGCAAGCTGTTGGTCCATTTCTGTGTGTACAAAACATAAGCAGGACACAAGGGAAAAGCACGAGGAAGCCTAGAGGTCTTCTCACCAAGCATTGTCAGCAACAATAGAGGCTGGATGCGAACCACCACACAGGGATGGCCCAGGCTCCAGAAACTCAATCTGTTGACTTTGAGGAGCCCCTCTCAGCCACCCCATCCTCCTCACCTATGGCCCTTTTCTGGACTGCAGCCCCTCAGGAACACCCTGTTCTCACAGGGGCTTCCCATGGCCACAGCTCCCTCAGGAAACGTCCCCCTGTTGTGGCACAGGCCCTCCCTGGGCTGCAGGGTGGAGATCTGCTCCAGCGGGGGCTCTGCAGGGTTGTTGGGGAATCCCTGCTGCCTGTGGGCCTGGAGCCCCTCCTGCCCTCCTCCTCCTGGGGCCTGGGCCCTCTGCTGCTTCTCCCTTGCCCTGGGCATCCTCCTCAGCCCAGGTTGTATAATTAGTCATATACCTATATGTGAACCATCTGAAGTGCTTGTGCCAGTTCAGTCTTTTACAGAACAGAATTGTATTTTGTGACTGATACTCGTTTTAAACATAGTAAAAGCTCTACAATACTTTCATCTGAATAGCTTTTCTTACCTGACCTTTCTTTGGAGCATGGTGAGGCCCTGGAGATTTGAGAACTGAGTTTCATGAACTACCTGATTAAATAATGTCTCTTGGCAGTTGACTGCTTTGTTCCTATTCACGATCAAAAGACACTTATAAATATTGGAAGTACAGACCAGATAACCTGATTTTTTGCTCCTTTTGGTAATCGCCTGACCTATAGATGTTTCAGTGAAAATAATCACAGTAAAAATGTTGAGCTGTTCATTATGCTGTGAAAAGGTAGAAGCAAAATGCTGTGTACAGATCCAACTCCCTTATGATTTAATTTAAGCATTCAAAACAGGTTTCCAATTGTGCAAGAGTATCACATGACCAGTAGGTAATTTTGCATTAAGGCTGTCCTTAATCCTTAATTTTGGATTTGTCCTTAATTTTGCATTAAGGCTGTCCTAGATCATCTTCAGGGTCCCTTCTAAGCCAAACTATTCTATGATTCTAAAATCTCCACCCAGTTTTCTCTGTTCAGACATCTAATAATCGATTTCTCCAGGTCAGAGGACCTGGTAATTAAAACACTAACACTCACTGGTTATTGCATCCCTGAAGTGAAAAACAGAATTCAATGGAAATAAAGAAAGCTCAAAAAAAACATGAAGATTTGTCAACAATGATTTGCCTTTGCTCTCCTTTTACATATAATTTTTGGCTTTCACGGGAACAGCAGGAACAGGTAGCTGATGGATAGAGTTTGACCACAGCAGCTTTACCTATTTTAATGTGTAGATGATAGCAGGGAACCAGTCACTGGAACAATCCCAAAAGAGAAATGTCATGAATCTTGTACTAATTTAAAACTACAAATTACTTCTAGCTGGTAACTTACCCCAGTTAATGACAAGAGCGTAAAACTGAGTACAAATTGCTGGAACTATCTACAGCTATATGCAAGATCATCAGTCAAAAATGCATTTCACAGCTGCCTGTTGTTAGCTTAACATAAACACTTATTGACCATCTCACATTGCAGTGTGTGTTTTCCTTTGATTTACACAATGTAAATACTTTGGAATGATATGTGCACACATACACACACCAATAAAACTTCATCTCACCTATTTTCCTTTGTTTGGAAATGATTAAATAAGTGATGATGAATTCTTCCATATATGCATCACAAATCCACTTTCTGTTTCTCTTCTACAAGTAACCGAATACATTTGGAGTCTCATCTCTATGAAATCCAAGGAATCTAGTCTGAAACTCTACTTTCATACCCAAATCAGTGATCATGAAATAAACACCAAAACCCATCATTGTTGCTATTGTTTATAGGCCATACCACATTTGATGGATTATGAGAATACAGGAGCAGAATTAACAGAGAGGCTGGAAATTACTGTATTTCTTCCAAGACCCAAAAATGCTGATGTTTAAAAATTTCCTGGATATTATGTATCCATGTAACTGTTTCCATACAACCAAACACAGCTATTTTCCTAAAAAATTAAGGAGATGTTATCCAGTGAGTTTGTACCATGGTATCAGCCATCTTGCATAAGTTCTCAAGACAGTAACACCCTGTAATCCATATAAATATATATATGTTCTGGGACATGATTTCCCTTCCACATCTGGTCAGATGCATTTTTTAAAACTCTATACAAAGCAAGAGCTATCCAAGTCTGAGGGATGGAAAAAATTACCATGAGAAATTTAAAGGGCATTGAATACTTTTAGCTTATCAAAAAGTAGAAGTTAAAAGTGTTTTGATTACAGCAAATGAGAAAATTCATGCAGGGGAAATAGTAAAGGCAATAGGGCTCTTCAATCTGGAGAAGGAATGCAGATCAAACACCAGTGGCTGGGAGCTAAATCCATACCATTTCCCATTAGAAATTAGACACTGCTTTTTTTTTTTTGTAAGTCTGGAGATGATTAGACTGCAGTAAATTCCCCGCAGGAAATGATGGATTCTCCATTTGTCAAATCAAACTTTGATGCCATTTTAGTAAAGCACAGATAAGTGAAGTCAATATAGGGCTATCAGGGTGAATTCTAGTGGTAAAATAGTCTTTTTCATTTGTGGATTATGCTGAGCTTGATTCATGATAATAATGAAATTCAGTGGAAATACTTACCATTTTCAGGACTGAATGCTAACTTTCTTCTTTGCAGGCAGTATCCCAAAATGCAGTTTTAAGAGGTTTATGTGTTGCTTCCGTATGGGTGGAGGGTATTGCTTTTTGTAATAAAACATCAGCTTCTCCCCTGAGGAAGAAAAAGTGTTTTCTGACAACCCCTTTGTCTTGGACTGACTATTCAAAACCAGAATATTTTACATTACTCTGATGCCACACAACAGGTCCTGGGCCCTACAATAAAACCATCCAGTGCCTACCCTGTCAAACACAAGGCAAGTAATGATCCACAATGGAATCTCCTGTGCAATATTTTTGTGTCGTGATTTATCAAATTAAGTGGTTTGTTCTTCCCCGCTGGTTCATTTTCAGTCATCCAGTTCACTTAGACTCTCTAACTTGACCTTCTTAAGATTTCTCACCCCTGCAGGAAGGGTGCAAGAACATCATTTTCCCATGGCTCATAGGAGAGAACTGAAGAATGAGAAAACCGCAGGTGATGCATATATCTGTCAGCTGGCAGCAGTGAATGTTTATAAATCTTTATGAATTTAGAATACCCATTTCTTGTTCCATTAGAGAGTGACAATTTAAGATTTCTGGATTACAACAAAACTAGTGATGTGTATCGGGACCCTGCTGACACACATCTCCTATTACATGGTGGTTGACTTTATATAAAAAATTAGCTGCTCAGTGCCAACAGTTTCTGCAAACAGCTGCTGAAGGAAAATTAGTGATGGGTAAAGGACTCTTCTATGATTTCCATTAGGGAATTTAAAGATAGAAAGTAATCAGATTTCTTCAACAACATGGTGTATATTTTTGTTCTTGTTATACAAATGCAGATAATGTCACTAGAACTTCACGAAACCTGATAAGAATACACAACTCTTTTCCAGCAAGGACATCTGAGCTTCTCCAACAAAGTTCTTCTGGATTTCTTTAACATGGACAAGCTGTATTTTTGGTTTGCTTGGACCAAAATATTCCAGGTGAATTTCTCCTCAGGGAAATAAGTGGCAGAAGTTCCTCTCAAACAACTCAGAGATTTATAGTTGGAAGTCTCAAAAGGACCAAAATGATGTATTGGATTGCTAGGTCCACTTATAATAACCTGGAATGACTTATATGTTGTATTATTGGAATAGTAATGTTTGTGTGTGTATATATATGACTGATATGAATGAGCAATAGATGCATTGCATATATATCCACCAGCAGGACTGAAATATATATGTATTCATCATTACAACCAAAATGAGAAATTGGTCCATACTGTTCAGATTTTTCAAAGTGTTCAATGAGAACCAATAAATACTTCCAGCAAAATTTGCTGAATGAGCTCTGAAAATAATTTTTTTATAAAAACTTCTGCTGGAATTTAAAGCACCAGATGGACTGCAACATGGAATAAATTAGGGGAAATAGTTGTCAGCAAGGATTATAATGAATAGCATGAAGTAAGTTGCCATGCAAAATGGGGGGGGGGGGGAGAGGAGAAAGAAACCTGCATATGACAACCCAACAACTTTCTTAAATGTCTTTTAGCTCACTAATTTAAGCTTCATTAAAATACATCTGCTTAATGTTAGGCCTTATGTCTTACTATAAGGAAAGAGATGTCTAAAACTGGGGTGGAAGGATAATCACCATACCTGCGATTTATTTTGCATTTTCTGGCTGTCCTTGCCATGCTCATGTTGTTAGAGACATAAACAAGTATGCATCCTGACAGGCTCTATTTCTGAAGAAGTAACAAGCGATCCTAAAACAAAAAGCAAAGTTAGCTGTTTGTTTCTTTTCCCAAGCCTATATGAAATTTATTTAGAGAAAACATTTCTCAGATACAATAAATCTGACTGGAACACTACCAGCACATTGATGGCTATACATGTTGTTGTAAGATCAGTAGAGAAGACCACAATTACCCTATAGCTGAAAAAAAAATAAATAAAATAAAATAAAATAAAATAAAATAAAATAAAATAAAATAAAATAAAAGTTGAGATAGGGGGTGGATGAGACCTATCTGACTGAGATGTCACCAACGTAGAGTAGGTCTATGAGAAAACAGAAGGAGGATGTTTTTTACGCTACACATATTCCAGCCATGCTACCAGCCATGGCATGCCTCCCAGTGCCCAACTGCAGTCTATAACACAACCAGCAGTTCTTGGATATAAGAAAACATAACTAAGACATTTTAAATGTAAAAATACTTGTCAGAGAGAGACCTTCAAAGCTATCTAGGATGTAACAGTTATTGATTTCAGGCTCAGATACCTCACACTCAATTTTAGGACTCTAACTGAGGCAGTACACTTAGAAGAATAGGTGCTGTAGGTATCCTCAATGGGTAAATAGTTAGAGACACTAAGTTGATTAACTTCTCTTTCTCTCTTCAGGCATCACAGAGAGAGTGCTGGAGGTGACTACAATAACTATGGGTCCCCATTTAACACCTTATACTGTCTTAAGGCTGTGAGCCCTGGCCATTCATGAGGAGCTGGAGTAAAACGAACCAAAGTTTAAGCTGGCAGCCACAAAATTAGCATGCACCTTGAACAGATGCTCAGACTGTTGGATCATCACCAACTTTGTGTGTAGCAGGAGGAAAAAGCCACCAGTCCCAGTCCCCACAGCCTATCAGATACCTTTAATTCACAGAATGAAAGAATTGACAAATACTACCTGGATGACAGTTTAGCTGGTTATGCAGCATTACATGCTTCAAAGGTCGTAAGAGGTTGGTATTTCTATTAGCTGCTATTAATAGATATATCAGCTGCAAAGCTCCTTGTGAAGGCCTCAGTATGAGACCACTCAAATATCTGCCAGGGCATCAAAATGTGTCTTTGAAATAGGTGTAACTGCATTTTTTTTTAATGGAATATTCTGCAGAAAACTAACATCTGTCTCTCTGCATATCTTCCACACAGGTTTTCATGGCTGAGGGATCAAGATTACATCAAGCTTGACTTAAATACAATCTAATGGCTACTATCTAAATTATACAGTTTAAAAATAATAATAAACAAATAAATAAATAAGGTAATATCAACATCATGGGGAGATAACCAGTAGCATCCTCAATGGTACAGCCAACAATTGTTCTATTATGTAAAAACCCCAAGAACAGAAACAACCCAGATACCCCCATACAACTGCTTGTGGCTCTCCTAGCACAGCAAGTTACCCTATTATTACCAAAATGTAAGAGAAAGGCTGAGTTTCCTCTGCTACTTCTCAGACCCAAGGCCCCAGGACATTTCATTGAACATGCTGACAGATAGGAGCCAGACCTTCCTTCAGTTCTCAGATAGCCTCTCTCGGACAGATACCTATTTTGAAACAAGTGTTTTCTGTTTTTTTCCTCTGTTACCTCCTTCTATTTCTGTCTTGACTATGTAGATCTCACGCAGAATTTTCACAAGAAGCATCTGACTGTATTGGAAATGACAAAACTGTCTCCGCTGTGCTTCTCACAGAGTTGCATTACATAATAAGATTAATGCATTATTTTACATTAGTTACATACATATTTGTCTGAAAACTGGAGAAAATAAAACTGCATATGAATATCCTCCCCCATTGCTAGCAAATCTTTCCCATGCTATAGTGAAAGATGGTATTAATGGCATGCTTCTGGCTGTGAAATGCCATTACAGATTGTCTCTGGTAACCTCTGTGGTCCAATCCCAGTTGCTTACTTCTTGCCCCCCTTGTTTAATAGATAATCCATTATTTGGATGGAGAGGTGTGGGTATTAAGACCAGCTGTGAAAATCCTTTAAGAAACCACCGCAAGCATTTTTTGAGTTTAACTTTTCTTCTGAGATTCATGGAAAAGGACTTCTGCACAGGGCAATTAGCAGAAGGATTCCCTGGCAGCTCTTGGGCACAAGTTTATCCATGCATCCCTCCACCCCTTCAGACAGGCATCTGCTGCACAGGTGCCTCCAGCAAGCACTTAGAGTATAATTAGCACCTTGCACAGGTAGAAAAAGCAAAGCCTCCAATGCAGCAGTGTCTAGAAAAAGACAGGGATTAAGTGTGATGTAGATTATAAAATGGAGCAACCTGAAGGAATTTAGCTAGCTGAAATGATGGACATGTAGTAGCAAGAATTTGGAGTGACACTGCAAATGTCAATGTGAAGAGAAACTGTCCATTCAATCCTTATCCCAGGTCTGAGTCCTCAGATAGTATCTTCTCTCCACTTTTTGCTGTTCTCTTAAAGCTCTTCAATCGATTCAGGTTCTCCAAGAATTCTTCAGTGGAGTCTGAGTCTGAATTTTCCTAAGTCACATAGCCTACAACACATCAGATACCCCAGACAAGTTCTCCATAAACACATGGCAAGGTACAGTCATCTGCCCTATGTGGCTGCCAGCAAGCTGTCACCTCATTTAATGAACAGAAAACCAGCTCACAGTCTCAACCACACATTATCCTAAGGATCATATCTTAGTTCATAGCAGTAAAAACAGTAAGAAATATAACCCATGGACCCAAATCTCAAGCCAGTGCTCCTCTCCAATTCCCTCTTCTTCACCTCAGCTAACACCTGATATTCCTATTGTCTGTGAGAGGCAGCTGATGTGATTTGGATTATGAATGTAAAAGTGGAAAATTAGTTACAGCTGCAGAATTTGTCAGGCAGGAAGATAATTGATAAAGCCAGCAAAACGATCAACTGTTTAATTGCTTACATTAAAGAAACTAATTGACAGCAATCAAACCAACCTATAAGAGGTACCAAAAATGACATCTCAGAAAATAGATTAATTTTCATAAGGAACAAGTAAAAAAAAAAAAAAAAAAGGGAAAAAAAATAAAAAAAAATAAAAAAATAAAAAAAGGTTGTGTTGTTTATAAAAACCTTAACCAATTTAAAATTCATTTTCAGTGTATTAAACTTTACTATTTAATGTGTCCCAATGAATTCTGTGTTTGGCATTGTTCAGCCATGTACAGTTCAAAAAGATAATTTGATTCTATGATCAGCTTTACCTCTGCCAAGCATGCTTAAATTAGGAGGCAGTCCCCAAAGTCATGAAAGAAGCAGTACTCTGAGATTTTCACATGGAATTTTTCCTATTTGTAGGATTGGTGATTGCTTGGGGAGGTATTTTTGGAGGGAGCCACACCTGTACAAGGCATTCAGCACTGTCCAACATGGTATCTTCATCTCTAAAATGGTGAGATGTGGATTTGACAGATGGACCACTAGGTGAGTGAGGAACTGGCTTGGTGGTCACATTCAAAGAGTTGTGGTCACGAATGGTTCAATGTCCAGGGAGAGATCAGTTAAGAGAGGTGTTCCTCCATGATCAGTATTGGGACTGGTGACATTTAACATCTTGGTTGGTAACAATGAAATGAATCTTTTGTTGCAACTGGATGATCTTGTCCCGCTCCAAGCAGCCAGCTGACAATGCTTCCTGTACTTCAACCACATGCTATAGTAACATATTTGTTATTTTTATTTTATTTTTGATCTGTTTTACACCTTTTTTTTTTTTTTTTTCCAAGGTACAAGCTTGGAAAGCTATTTAGGAAAACTGAAGCTGTGCTTTGTCCCTGAGAGTAGGACCTCATCTAAGGGCACAGGGAAGGTGAACACCAGGCACGATGCTTGCCTGCTGGTACGTGTGCTTTCTCTGTCCCACCATATCACCAAGTTAGGATTTTTTCTTATGCTGTATATCAGGACACAAACCCTCTCCAGCACAGAGCAGGAGCTCCTGAAATGTTCAGACCCATAAACAAAGTGAGCAGGGATGTGGACTCTATTGTACCAGTGTATGAGACATTTTTGAATGTCATGTGATGATGAAGGAACAGAAAGAGAACAATTCCAGAATGTCTCCTTGCTTTTTCACACATTATTTTTACTAAAATAATAAGGGGTTTTGCTATTTTTTTTCACACTTACATAAATCACTTGAAAGAAAAGATTTTCTTTTGAAAGGAGAAGATCGATTGTATACCATCTCTTTTTTTCCCTATCATCAATTTTTCATTTCACGATAAAAATCTAATTTTGTAAGACTAGCACTCAAAAAAAAAAAATAAAAAAAAATAAATAAATAAATAAGCTGAATCCAAAGGTTTAGATTTACTGGCTGCCATCCAGCCTCACTGTCTGGCTGACCAAGCACAGACCAAATGAAGAGTCACCCATCCAATGATTATCCTAATATTGACAACCTTCATCCCGTGAAACCGAATTGTAAAGGTCTTACATAAAATCAATGCTCTTTTGAAGCTTTTTGTTTTTGTTTGTTTTTACAGTTTTATCCGTGTTGTCTGTTTCATTCTCACATTCTTCTTTTCAATAACTTGATGTCCAGGTATTCAATTTCCACGCCGCAGATCAGCCACTCTGTTTGAGTAAAGCAGCGTCACCCAGAGACACTGAGAACTACATAGTGGTGGTGGGGATCGAGAGCCAGCTGCCCTTCTGAAAATATAAAGTAATTTCACGTGAGCTGAAGGAAGACCATGCCCTTCCCATCCCCAAATATAAAACACAGAAGTGTGATATGTGGGTCTGAACTCTGCATTTTGTACACCACAGAGGATTCCAAAAAGGGCTGCTGACCTGATCACAGGGCTGGAAACAAATCTCCTGAAATAAAATCTCGAGGGAGGAGAGGTTAAAATCAATACCACATTGATTTTTTTGACAAAACCAAAACCAATGTCATTTACTACTTTAGTGTATTACTTAATAGACTAGAAATACTGAGCTAATAAGTAAAAAATGATTCTAAAGGAAAAAGGAAAAAAAAACAACAACACAATTATTTCCTTTCTGAAAAGGTCAAGATTACGGATTACTCCACTAAAATTCTGGGAAAATAAGACTGGGAGGAACCATGTATGCTTTCAACCACAGAAAACAGACGGCAGAATTTAAGTGAAGGGGTACAGAGTATTGACTCCATTCTGGCACCCTGTAGGATGATACCTCCCTGCCTAGTGCCATCTCAAGAGCTCTACTACTTAGGACCAAACTCTCTAGATACCGCAATGTGCCACAGTAGATGAGACTGTGGGAGCTTTGGATGGCTAGCAATGGTAAGGAAGTACTGAGAATAAATATGCCTTTATGCCTTTGTGATCCTAGGAAGAGGACTTCCCATGCAAACTCCCATCTCTCTGCATTACCTGGACAAAAAAGTACTTTCACGTTAGAAGCTGAAGAATCCAACATTTGCACAGAAAGCGATTTGTGCAAAAAAAAGGGCACCAAATCTAGAACTAGTCATGGTCACTGCACATTGGTATATCCATATTGTTGGTCTGCATTTTCTAGATATCTGAATTGTTTTCTAGTTTCGTCTCCGATCAAGAGGCCAGATGGCAAGAAAGTCTAGAGAAATGGCAGGACAAAATTACTTGGTAGAAAAAGGTGCTACCTTCTTTGAAAGGTCTAGGGTATTCACAACCACATCCTCACTTGTAGAGAAAGACATGAAAGTCACCAAAAAAATCAACTTTATTTGCCTATTGTACCCACAGGGAATTATTTTCTGAATTCATCCTTATATGTTTTATTGCCAGCAATAGTTATGATCCTTATAATGGCCTTATAATTCCCTCCCTTGCCCTAAGACATAGTATATGGTGAAAGAAACTAATGAAGCAAAAGACAGTCAATATCAGCTTTCAAATGTGCTGTTTATAAAATCCTTTTAAAGGCAAAAATAAAACAGCCATTTTTATAAATTAAAAACCGTGATGCGCAGCTTGCTGGATGGCAGGTTGAATCAAGATGGTTGACGTGTCACACTGTAACTACTTCCCCAGTGAATGATGACATAAATTTCATATTTGCCCTTCTTACTGGCATTGATGCATTCAGGCAAAACGATATATCAATCAGTCTTTAGGACCTAAGTGCCTGTTATGAGTCAATCCTCTGAGGCTCTCGGCTTTCCACATCTCATAAGAATCTTAGCAGTGATTTGTAGTCATTTGAGTCTTTTATAATGCTTCACATCTCTCAAATTGTTTAGAGCCTAAAACCAGAGTCCTCACCCTGTTTCATTTCAGCCACCTTATTGGCACAGGACAAGTATGTATTGCTGTATGTTCTTACCACCACACTAAAGCCAGCCTCACATAATGAAATATGGCTAGTACCCAGTGTCATTCCACACATTTAATGGGTTTATGACCTGGTTTCTCCTTAGATCATTATCAGGGCCTCTTAGATCTTCCCACAGAGCTGCTCCTAGACAGGAGGACTCGTATCATACCAAAATGTTCATGAAACACAAAGAAAGGTGAGTCAGATATTTGAGTGTATACAGTCAATAATCTATAGTATATTATATAATAGATATATGTCAAAATGACATATATCAGTGTTGCCGGATAATATATGCAAGGCAAGTGCTGACCTCACAACTCAGATGTTATTGCAAGCAAAATGATACAGAAGACATCAGGTAAATTGTATGCTCCTCCCAAGAGATAGACCACTTGAAGGAAATAGGCATTTGAGTGTTTGGAAGTAGTGACAGTCAAAAAGAAATGCATGACTCCCAAAAGGTTGGGGTTTTGTATTTCTTGATGCCTGAAAAAGGCTCGTTACATGTGCCTTCCCTTGCTTTCATCCGGTTGTTGCAACTATAATATTTGAAGTGGGTACTCTTCTGAAAACTCACTCACTGCACCCCAAACTTCACAACACAAATCTGAAGACATTTTAAAAAGATCAGACATATTGAATGGGTTGTAGGTTATGTCCACTGAATGTGCATTTCAGCAACCAAGATTTTTTCTCGTGCTAAAGTGTTTGGGGGATTCACCAAAATGCTCCCATTCATTTTTTTAACTGCTGACCAGGTTGTAAGGTTGCTTGGTTTTGAGGTGCTGTTCCTCCCCTCCCAGAAAGGAAAAGAAAAAAAAAAAAAATAATGGGAAGAACTCATTAAAGGAAGGCACACTGATTGCCATAAAAGTGCCTGTGATTTATAAAGGAAAATCTGATTTTCAATCATGATTAGATGGTCTTACAAAGGAATAAACTACCAGTCCCAAATGAGACCATTCAAAACCCCATTATACCTAATTAAAATCCTTTTTCCTAGGCTTAATAGAAGTTCTGAGTGTGAATAACTTTGCTTAAGCAGTTTCACAAATCTGGCTGCACTAAATTACAGATGAGACCTCCCAGGAGCAGAACAAACCCCATCAAGACCCTCATAAACAAAATGCCAGCATCTGGAGCCAGAGAGAGCAGCACAGGCAGGATAGAGAGAAGAATTACAGACCTGGGATTAGCCTATACATCAACAGCATCTAAGAAGAAAGAAAAGCTCTTTATTTATTGCTTACCAGCCTCCAGGGCATGAGTGTCACTCAGCATTAGCATTCACCTTTATAACTGTGCTGTGATTTACAGCTCCACCCCAGTGCAGAGGGAGCAACCAGTTACATGCCTATGAGAACATGCATGCATTGAGTATATCCCAGCTGCTTTCTCTTCCCTCTCCTATGTGCATACTGATTTTCTGGGCCTGAGCATGAAATAAAGATGTGAGAGATGGAATCT